TTTTTTTTTTTAATTATTGAAATTATTAGAGCATGAAATTCACGCTGGCAATTAATTGAGTTGCCAGCAAGGCGGCGCATAGCTGTCGATTTTCCACATCATCATGCCTCTCAATCGCATATCCGCAACATTGCATATGTATGTATGTATATGTATGTTTGTACAGCCCTCTAGAACTTTCAAAGTGTGTTTGGGTGTGCTGGGACTATGGTTGAATGAGAATCGAAGTTAGTTTTCAATGCGATTTCGCTTCATTGCACCGTTGCAAAGTTTCGTCCTTCAGCTGGCCTTTGAGGCCTCAACCGCATCGTTAGCCAACGTAACATCTTTTAAGGTAAACTGGCGTGTCTAGGCGCTCGTGTTGAGCTGCATTGCAGCAGAAAATCGTTGGCACATTTGAGGTGGTAGGTTGTGAGGAGAAAACCATAGCCAGAGTAGAAGGTAAAAATTGTAGCTTTCGCCTACCTCAGCTAGCAAAATCGCAAAACTAGGTTTAATTTGAAATTGTAGCGAATTAAGTGCATTAAAGATTAATTCATATTTTATACATAAGTTTATGTGTATTTTCATTATTGTCATTTTTTACTTAACAGCTTTCATAAAACAAAATCCGCAAATATTTTGATATTTGCTAATAGCCATAATTAGCAGCTAAGTCGATGAGCGAGAGCAATTATATGCACACTCTGTGCATTCAGAGTACATCTTAGCAACAAATATTTGTGTATAAATACAAATATACGTATGTATGTATAATTAACCAGCTCACTCATTGTACACCGATTATACACTTGAAAGCAATTAAGCACTTGAGCGTTTGCAGTTTTTCATCGGCTTCTCCGTCCACATTTTAAATTCAATCAACCCATCGCCACACAATACAATGTTTTCCTACAGAATTTTTTGTTGTTATTTTTTCATTGTAGGGCTGTATGTTTAAGTATAAGTATGTATGTATGTATGTATGCAGTGTAATGCCAAACAATAATGCGAGGTTGGTTGAAGTACTTTACTTAGTCCAGCGTGAAATGTTGTTGGTTCAGAAGCGGCAAATTGCAAAATTTGAGAGTAGAGGCTTATACTTATGACGGCCAAGTGGCACACTGTGTATGTTTTAGTGTAAGTGCGGATGGGAAAATCAGCTTATTGTTTGTTAAAAGAAGCGAGTTTAGATTTTTAGGAAACCATAGTGAGAACTATGAAATGAAATTAGTTTTGGTGATGTAGTTAAAATGGAACATTTAGATTGATGCATACGATTATGAGTCTGTATGGAAGTTAACCTTCTATGAAGGTATACAATACTAAGAAATGGCCGCTTAAAACAAAATTCTTTATCCGGTAGTAAAATGTGGCTTACAACTTGCACAATTGAAAGGTTGTTTAGCACACCAAGAAGGGTAAAAACTTGGCTGCGATCCACAATGAGCGAAACTCGACTAAATCATCTCTACATATCGCACACGATCTTCATAAGTCCACAACTCAAAATTTGGCATTTTTGAAATTATGCACTAAAAATGTACACAGCTACATACAGAGAGAAGTTATAACGAAAAATCGCATACCAGAAAAATCAGTTTTATGGGGACTATAGGTTATAGTGACCCGATCTTAGTTGTTTTTACTGTAAGTATTCTGTTATTAATGAGTAAAAACAGTGCGAAATTTCATGTTATGCTGCATAAATGGAGGAGTTATAAAGAAAAATCTCATATCTGAATAATCAGTTGTATGGGAGATATATGTTATAGTGGTCCGATTTTTCCGGTACCGACATATGATTAATACATTATAAAACTACACTCACTTACCAAATTTCAGTCGGATACCTCGAAAATTGAGAGACTAGATTGCATACAAATAGACGGACAGGCAGACAGATGGACATGGCCAAATTGGCTCAGCGCGATGTTCTGATTATATAAGTATACATTTTCATGGGTTTATCTCTTCTTATCCTGATACTTTCAAACATCGGACCAAACTTATAATACCATTTCATGCTTTCAAAAAGTATAATTGTCAGATTTCAAATTGGTGAAGTAGGTGACAAAATATAAATTTAAACATTTTCTTAACTTCTTCCCAGCGAATCTACATATATATAATTGCTCAGTCACACGACTTAGTAAGGACGATCTGTAGTAGCCAAAGAATTGAGCTATGTAAGTAGCAAACTAAAGTGCAAATTGCAGTTGCAGTTGACCATATTTGTCTCAAAAGTAAAAAGTGGCAGAAAAGTCGATGGTGAGAAATATAATCTATTGAAAAATATTAACCAATTTTATTAAGTATTATTCATAGTTTTGAAATATATTTCTCGAAAGCAAACATGTAAAAATGGTTGAGATCACTTTCTTTTTTAAACACCTAGGATATCACTGACCTTTATAAAGGACCCCGAATGACGGCAAAGCGCTTAGCTTTACAAATTTGTTGATGTGATGAACTATCCAAAATCAGCCGTTATACATTTTTAAAAATTTTTAGAATCAGTGGTAGGATTTTTGTACTGAAAGGGTTAAGAAAGCTTTCGTTCAAAAGTGGTATACTAAAGGCCTTCCACTATAAACGGCATCAATTTTCAGTAATTATTGCGTTTAATATTACGACTAATAATGCCCTTGGAGATATATTGTGAAAGGTTGGACTATACCTTAAAGATTACTGTGTTCTCACGGCCCACTGCACGAAGCTTTGAGTAGAGTAAGGTCCTTTAAGAATTAGAGAATTGTCCTGAGTTATAAGATCTCTAGAAATACGGCGCTTTAATGCTACGTTTTATTATATACTTAAATTCAAATTCCTAATATTAGCAAAAATATTTCTTTACTGCAGTCACCCGAATTTCGGGGGTTACTACTAGTTTTAATAAATTGTCAATTTAATTTCTTATAAAATTTACCTTTAGGCATCTTAAGCATACATCGAAAATTTGTTTTAGAGAGTCCGGTTTGCTGAGCATCCAAGACGTTTACTTTTTATATAATTTTTGTAAAGCAAATCGGCAAGTACATATGGTATCCCGCATGCCAGAAACATGAATGTGTAAAAATTAAAATTTTGGGAAATCAAGTTTGAATTTTTTTTTACGAGACTTCACTCTGCATTCAAGTAATTGACATTGTGAGATGAATTACTCTACACTTTGTTACTGCGCTGTTGTAACGAAGAGGATAGTGGCCGCCATATGTTCACCAAAAAACCGCCTGATGAAGGTCATGCAAAACAATTATTGTTCATCCTAAGTTCATTGCTACGCTGAAGTAATAATAGAAAATCGGCGTAGATCTCCTTGATCATTAATATGAAACAAATGTTGCATGAAAGTTCGACCGTACAAAAGATTTGCGCCAATTGAAACTCGCATGATTTTCCGATCTTGAAATGAATATTATTTTTTTTTTCAATTTATGCCGCTTCATGCTATTTGTGGCATCGATAGAACTAAGCTCAAAAGAAGCTGCCAGTCAACTGAATTGGCCTGAAAATTATAATATGATTCAATAAGGTGATCGCGGACACAGTGCTTCAAATATTGTTAACCATACTAGCCTGGTGGCAACAGGGTTATAAAATCATCGTAGAACCGCCAATTTTGAATAATTCATAATTCCTTTAGCATTATTCAAAAGTTGAATGAAAATTCCGCGCAGTCGTGTACATATATCGCACGAAAGGCGATGTTGCTACTTTATTGAGCTAACAAGAGGTCAGCTTCTCCATTTTTGAATGGCAATATTGGAATAATTTAAATTTCAAAAAATTTGATGAAATTATCACAAAACTGTATACTCGAATTAAGTTTTATTTGCAATACTATATTATAAGATATTAAAATAAATAGCAAATTATAATTTTATGATAAAGTGCCAAGTTAGTTTACCTTTTTTGCTTGCAAAGTATTACCTTCAGAATTTTTATTTTACACCCTCTAACAACTGAATTTAATTTGCTTTTATGTTCATATATTAGTATCAGTTTTATGTATTCTATTTTTGCTTTTCTGACACGCCAGCAGCCTTAAATTACTAGTAACATATGTATGTATACCATTATTTCATTCCAATTTTCCATTTTCTGTTTCCCTTTTGGTTACTACTAAATTAACTGAAAATTTATTATAACGCAGCAAAATAAAAAAATAAATGGCAGCACACATACATATTTTAAATTCAAATGTATAGCAGTGCCAACATGAAAATAAGAAAACATGGCCAAATATTAACAAACAAACCAAAAAATAAAAATAAAAAATGACAGCAAATCGAGCTGAGCAGCACAAATTCGCAAGCGCACCGTCATTTTATAGCCTAAGCGTCGTCCTACGAAAATGTCCTTCAGCTACACAAATGCGTATTCGTGTACTTATGTAACATTTATTTATGTATAATACACAAACACATTTGATATACAAGCATTTACACTTAGCAACTTCTTTTATTAGTATTTACTAACTTAAATAAATTTGTTTTTATTATTTTTTTACAACTCTCTGTGGCAATCGTACACCATCTGATGTCGACAATGCAAATAAACCTAACACCACGCATACCTACATACATGCTCGTCTATCTATTGCTGACGCAGGTACTCTACGATGGCAAATTGTCGAATGCCATCGTCTTCATGTACAATCCAGTGGCAACCGATGGTCAACTGTGCTTACAATCCGCACCCAAAGGAAATGTTTCATATTTTGTCCATACACCGCATGCACTTATGTTACAGGTAAGTGGCAAAGTAAATAAATGATAGTAGAATTATATGTAAGTATTTGTGTACCTACATATGAATTTATTTAAGAATTGTAAACTTAGGTTACATTGTGTTGTCCCCATAGGAGAGAACAGAATAGCCATAAACTAATAATATGAAATAAAATATTAAAATATTTTGAGGTAGCAAAGAGCTTAGTCACCGTATCACAAGCGTACACTCCAAATTTGATAAATATTTTTTCACAATCCATATACAGAATATAGAACTCAGGGCTTTCATACAAAAAAAAACTAAATAATAAAAATAGTCAATGAGTATGTGAGTCGGTTTTTTTAGAAATGCGCATCTGCACGTGCATAGACATATACAGTATCGATCATATCAATAGCACCCCAATTTCAAAGTAATATTTTTGGCCACTTGTGTATGTTTAATTATTTATTTTTAATCATTTTCAATTAAAATACAGTTGCTGCTATAACAAAACTAAAGTTTAAAACTTTGTAAAAGACTATAAAAAAATGCAACAAATTTTCACCCGCGTCTGACAAATGTGCAAGTTTCAGGTGGATATATAACGAATAAACGCAACACCTCCGGCGAAAAAAAAATCTAAAAGAATCAAAGCTAAGCTTCTGCCACTTGAAACTTGTATACTATTAGACTAAAATTGAACGCGCTATAAAACTGTGTACTCAGAAAAATTATAATACTTCTGAGAAAAAAGGTTAAAATATATGTTGGATTTTTTTTTTGTATATTTCTGCAAAGTTTTAAACTTTGGTTTATATGTTTTTTTTCTTGGAGGATAAACTGTATTTCAAATGAAAATTTTTAAGAATAAATAAATAATTATGAGTGGCAAACAATATCACCTTCAGATGGGGGTGCTATTGACATGACCTATACTGTATGTAAGGTTTACAAGTCTTCGTTTAATAAGAAGTGCACACTAAGTTTTCAAGAATACTAATTTTAATACTTGCATAGCAGGAATAGTACCGAGTGGGACAAAGGAAGATTACATTTTGTATCTCAAAAAATTCAGAAAACTGCAGTTAACCTTTTCAACAGAGTTCATAATGCTGGTATCCGAAGTTTATAGCTGCAGATTTCCTAAAAAAAAAAAAATAATAAGGATACAAAGTTTTGAATTAAGGTCGCTCTGTTGCATTTCGTGACCCCCAGCTACATATTGGACGTATCCGTGCGCACTTATTTACCAAAAAACTTATAAAGAATGGAAAACAAATTCTGAACGGCCAAAGTACCTTCAGCTTCCCTAGTAGATTCTAAAAAGACCTTATTATAAAAGGTTAAACTATTAAAGCTTCATAATGAAGGGATGTGTGGTCGATCCAGGGCAATCACTTCCGAATTCCATAGAAATTGCTGTAGTTAAATTTTACTAATGATTTAACTATACTTTAAAGTCGATAAGTTAATGGCCCTAACTTTGTAATCTGCAGTATCATTATCTTCAAGGCGGAGTTGATATTTTTGTACTGTTACAACAACTGATCAAAACTAATATCGTTTACTTATGTACTGAAAACGGCTGTGATCAGTTAGATAAGCAGAGGATAATCAAATATCAGTTCCATTCAATAAAATATCATCATTTGAATCGATACGATGCCATAGTACCCTAGACTGTCTAAGGCGTATTAAGTTTACTTGTGGCTCTCGAAGAAGACCAACTGAAACAACAAAATCGTTCCGGTCGCAGAAAACAGCTAATTTTGTGAAATCATTTCTCCGTATGTGGCTAACATGTTTCTAAAAAATTTGCATTTAGGACTACAAATGCGGCTGTTACAAATAACTCGACTTTCACGTCACCTATCGAATAATTTTTCGAACAATTATGGCTGATATCCATTCATGTTTCGTTGCTTTCTTGTAAAGATTACTAGAAGCGTCTCGATTCTCTGATTAATTTACCCACTTTCTTTGCTAAAGGTAGCTTCTGATAGGCCATGTACATACACACATATATAGTTGTGTTACTAGGTGTCTCCCTAATGTTTCATACTTAATATTTTATATAAGATTCTGGCGCATGTTTTCCTAGGGAGCAATGCTCCATTTTTTTTTTGCTACAATTCTGAGTATTTCTGTCCTAGATCTATTTGGCAGATCTAATGTCTTTGTTCTTTATAGTCACGATCTGTATGTATATCTGACCACCTGTGCAAAGTCATTTATATTTGGACTACTCCAAAAATAGGGCCATTTAGTGCCACCACATTGTCAATACATCAGTTGTATCGAACTCTATTACCTGAAATTTTACTTCAAAAATACCTAGAACTCCCGCTTCGAAGGTGTTTGTATTCTTTCCCAATCGTCGTGTTTCTCAGTGTAGACTACCGTAATTTATGTTGGATCCGCTGGTGTATAGAGAGATAGCTTCTTTATCGGTCACACGGACTCTTCTGCATTCTTTTTAGTTCCTTTTCATTTGAGGGTCTTTTGAAAAGTGTGCAGATTTGTTTAACTTTAACTGTTGTATATTCCGCGAGAAACTCACAATTTTCTGTGCTGACGGAAAAATGCTTTATTAAAATGACTACTGGGGTAATGTTGCTTAAGACTCGGGGCGGTGCATAAGCATGCTCACAGTTTAGGTGAATAGAAAACCACAAGTGCTAAATTTTTCAAATTTTATTTTTTTTAAGAATAAAATACTTCTTTGGCTAAATTATTAATACTCATTTTAAGAATAAAAGTTTGTTAATAATTTGAAACAAAGACACGTGCATACATGCATATTTCATACTGTTTATTACTACACTTCTCAAACACTCTTTTTTGCAGGACGTTAAAGCTGTAGTCACACACTCAATACATTGTACACTAAATTCCATTGGTGGCATACAGGTACTCTTTCCATTATTCTCGCAACTGGATATGGCGCATGAGGGCATTAGCGATATAAAACGTGATCCAACGCTGTGGTGAGTATTTTTACCAGAGACCCAAATTTATTATTATCCTAATATTTGAGTTCAAAAATGTCGCCTTGTTTTTTGAGAGAAATTTTTTTCGTCTTTGTATAATAATTATTTAAGAGAAATATCTTTTTTCATCTCGCGGGATGATTATTTTCAGATGGAAATTATTTACGTCTTTGCATAATAATTATATGGGATTTTCTCGGGACGTTTATTTCAAGGCGACAATGACGTTTGCTCTTAAGAGAATCGGTGCCGATTTCACGAAATTAAACGAAAATATCTCCGAACTCGATTATTGGAATTTGATTGCTAACACCTGGCAACCCTTTTCAAAAAACTAAAACTACTTAAAAGCAAAGCCCTTTAATTTGACAACTGATTTTTGAAAATCGGAAGAACGATACAGATTTAATGACATGAACAATCGTGGCGTTAAATATTTAACGCGTCAAATCTCTGAACTCAATTAAGAAGTTTCATTTCAATAAAAGTCCCATATAATTATTAAGAGAAGACGTAAATCATTTCCATCTTCAAATACACGTGCCGAGAGAAAAAAAATAAACATCCCACACAATTATTATGAGAAGACTTAAATCATTTTCGTCTGAAATAAACGTCCCAAGAGACGAAAAAATATAAAAACTTTATGAGAAGACGAAAATAATTTACATCTAAACAACTTTTCCATTGTTCAGTAATAATTTAGCAATATTTAATTTTATTTCTTATAATCGTTATGGTCTCTGATTTCCACAATAAAACTTAGAAGAATAAAAATGTTTGTGTTCAAATATTTTAAATTGCGACAATTTCAAAAAAAATAAAAAATGTAGACATTATAGAACTATCAAAAGAAAGTTGGTGGTATCTCAAGAGAAAGTAGAAATTAGTTCACTTCCTACTTTTTTTAAGTTTGGGTGACCTCTAAAAGGTGATAGACCGGACAAAGTAATTTGTTATTATGAAACCGTTATTTAACATTTAAGAATTTTACAACTTTAAGGGGTGGTTTCTCCAACTCAACTTAACTTAGTTAAGTCAATTTTCTTGACTTAGTCAAGAATAAGCTGTGTAAAACGTCTTCTTGTGAACTTGCACATGTGTGATACATATTTAATAATCCGACATTGCTGTAGAATTCTCTTTCGCACTCCATGGCTTCTCTTCTACGCTTGAAAGTTGCAAGCGCTCAACCAATTTCTTGCCGCTTAAGTTCATATGAATACGAAGCTGTTGTATAAAAATGCGTGTATACATGCCGATGCATAACCATAGATACGTAATATTCCATGCAATTCCATTATTGCATTCCTCTTTAGTTTACTCCAGCGCATAGCAATGCAATTTCTTACATGTTTGCCTTACACAGAGAAAAAAACAGCAGGTGGTTGAAAAGCGTATCGTAAACGTGAAATGGGGTAAGGTCGTATTCCATCCCGACTCTTTGGTGCTACGAACAACGTAATCTATATCTTTCACAAAGCTCGTCTGATGTCTGTCGTTTTTAATAACGAAAAAAACCTGGAAGACGACGATCAATGATGAGCAGGCTTTGTGAGCTTTCGAGAGAATTATTATATGTAGGATCTACTCGATTAGGCGATAGGTACAGAAGAATATGGAATGATGTGCCAAATAAGAAATAAAGAAAAAAACATGCAGTATTTCTGCTGCTAGGCACATCAATGATGGCACAAATTTTTTTTCCACATACAATTTTTTTGAAGAAATATTTTATTTAACGTATAAATGCAGAATTTTTATTGCTGCTGATGGTTTACAATTTGAATTTTTGTACAACAGCTTTGTTTAAAAAAACTGCAACTGCTAAAAATATAGAAATTAAAATTGCCCAATTCGCATTTTTTATCTTTACGCGTATCAATGAGCCGTTTTGAATACTTGCATTGACCAAAATTTTATACGATTCTTCTTTTTCTCATATTTGCAGTTCCAAACTTTTGGGTTTCATTTGCGAATTAGTCGAGACGTCACAAACCGTACAACAACATATGATACAGAATCGTGGATTCCTAGTCATTTCGTTTATGCTACAACGTTCGTCGCGCGAACACTTAACTTTAGAAGTTTTGGGTTCATTCTTAAATTTAACCAAATATTTGGTGACATGTCTATCGGCGAATAGTGACTTATTATTAAAGCAGGTGAGTTTTGCGAATATTCCAATAAAATGCAAATGAGAAAAACGTAAACTTTTATGAATTTGAAAAAATTATTTATGTGTGTACTATATATGTGCATATGTATGTATGTATGTATTTATATGATGTGCATATGTACATATAATTTAATTTACTATGTATAAAAATGTAAAATTTCTTTTAAGTACATATGTACATTAGGGTGGTCATTAAAAAATCAAATTTGTGATTTTTTCAGTCTCACCCGTTCAATCGGTAACACCACTGTCATACATATCACATATAAATTTTGGTCCCAATTGTGCATGTAGCATAGGGGGGGGGGGCTAAGTTCAGATTCCTCTATGGAGACTCAAAAAATTAAAATTAGTTATTTTTTTTTCATATAATACCAATACCGATACTGCCATAGTCGAGGATATCACATATAAATTTTAGTCCAGATTGAATTCGGCTAAGATGTCGTCATTGAGTTATTTGAATTTTGCCCCCTGTGCGACACGTCTTAACCGTCTCCCATGGGAACCAAAATTTATATGTGATATCTCCGAATATAGTAGCATCGAAGTAGAGGTTGAGGCTTAGGATGATGTAAAAATTTGATCCCTACATTTAAGTACCACCCTAATATGCATATATATGTATGCGCATAGACTAATATGTAGGCATACGTTTGTAATTTTATTTAAAAGAAATTTATGTATGTGTTTGCTGTGTCATAACTTGCCTGCGCATAGCTGGCATGAATATATGTACTTATTTATGTAAGTGCGTATGTATCTACATTAGGTTGGTCATTAAAATATCGAAAAACTAAATATTACATTGAGCATGATTTTCTTTTATTCTACGTGCAAAATAATGACATCCACAAATATGTCAAAATTTAAAAAACAATAGAACTTGCGACCAGGGTTTGAAAAAAGTAAAAAATACAAATTCATAAACTCGTTGATTTATAGCCAGGCAAAGTCAAAATTCTGTCGAATTTTTGCGTATTAAAAAAAAAATCACACCCTGGTAGCATCCCAACTTTTTTTTTTTTAATTATTAAATTTTCGTGAATATCTCAATTTTACACGTAGAGCAAACTTGAACCGTGTCCCATGATATCATATTGATGTTTTATGCACCACCCTTATGTACATATGCATATTTATTTGTATAAATTGCCTTGTTCAAGTGTCTATAAATTATTATGTGCAATCGGATTGCGATTGGCTGTAACTTTTGCTGTACTTTTAGGTATACATATACATAAAATATACATATATACATATAAATAACTGTATTTTACAGCGTTAAGTAGGTCTTAAAAAGCGAATGCATGAAGTGTTTATTTTAATGAATTTTAAATTATTTCATAAATTTTTAACTTTGCAAATATTTTGCTGTGTCGCCTACTCTATCTTTAATGAAAATTTTTACTTACTTTGTATTTCTTTCTTTTATTTAAATTTTTATATAAATGTCTACAGTTAAGCGTGGCCTTGCGATTTCCATATAAAAAAGTAAACATAATTTGGCTTAATTATAAAAGATATTTATTTACATATAAGTTCCCTTCGATATACTCAGTTAGTGGCTCTCATATTAGTTTGGTTAATTGAGCGCTTTTGTGCATAAATATTTATGTAGTTTTATGTGTGCAAGTAAGTTTGTATGCCTCATCAGTTTGCACCCGGAGCCACGGTGCGTATGAGCAACATCTGAGCTTGAATGAAAAAGTATTTTCAGATGTACATGCATATGTACATATTTGTGCTTGGGTGAAATTAGCTTAAAGAATCTTTTACTCTTTTTCACCTTGCCTTACTACTTTCCCAATTTATTTTAAACATCCTTGATATCGTATTTTGTTTACTTTATTTGTTCCCCTTTCCATTTTAACCTTGAGTTTCTCCTCTGCAGAATTGCGCCACCCTATATGCTACCAGTTAGTTACTTGATATGAGCACACTTTTTGAGTACGAGTTTTACAAAATTTCTTATAACGTTTATTGCATGTTGTTCCCTATCGTAAATTGGCTTTCTATACATACATTTTTCTAAGAAATTTTTTCCAAATTTGTTTGCGAACTAAAATTATGAGCTAAATTTTATGTACCTACCTCTAAAAAATTTTCTTCTATATAGCGCTGCTCGAAATAATAACTAATAAATTTTTTTTTAATCTCTTTTTTTTCTTCATTAAACTTTTTTTTCGAATATCACACAAAACTCGATACTCGTATACTCTTATCTGCTCACCCACTATTGCTGTCACCTTTCATATACATACGTACAAATTTTTGCGTCTTCCGGAAAAAATTCAAATATTATAATTTCAAAATAACTGTATGTGCACGAAATGTATAACGATTATAACAAAACAAAACACGCGACCAACATTTTGTGAAACAAAATGCAATAATTCTTAACGCTCAACACTCTCAGTTCTATCAGGTGAAGAAATAAATACTAATTTTCTACAGAGTTCTTTGTTGCCTTAACTATTCACAAGAGAGAGCTTTCAAACTAAACAAATTTTATAATTTTTTTTTTTTCAAATGTTAAAATTAAAGTTATTCATACCGAAAATTTTGAATAGAACTGTCAACGTCTTATCTTTTAAAACTACGAAAAGCACAGTTTCAGGGGTACTTATAAACTGAATGCCACACATACACAGTTTGACAGCTCGCTCTATGTGTAATATAAAATAATTAAAATGTTTGTCCTCAATTTACTATTCAAAATTATTCGTTTTATATGTAAAGTTAGTACATACATATGTAAGTCGTAAAATTTGCGTAGTTAGAAACGTATGTAGGTACGAAATTTGATTTTTAAAAGCGTATTTAGTAGTTTGGGAAAATTTTCGTATATTGAAATTCTCTTGTCGCAAAATTTGTTAAATTAAACGCAAATGTAGCGCTTTGAAGTTCAGCATAGCTCAGTGGAAAGTTGTCAGTTTGTAAATATATGTTTATACATATTTTATTTGTACTTTTTGTAGAAAAGCCTTAAACAAAAATAAGTAGATATTCTCCAACAAAAAAAAAATTACAAATAATTTCATTTTCAGCGCTGTTCCACTCTCTTTGAGTGCATCGTATCTTTAAGCATTCTTTTTATTTTTTTGCTCATTTTTTATTTCGTGATTACCTACTACTTACCATAGATTGCCCCTTAATCGCATTTCCGCAGCGTAAATATTTACTGGTAAAAGTGGCTGGCGCGCAATAATGTGTTTACACTTCATACTTACCCACACACGCAAGCGCACATTCACAGATACGTAATAATGCATATTTGCCATGCTGCACGTGAATCTGGCCAATGGCTGTATGGTTTGGCTGGCTTTATCCGTGTTCGCCACGTGTATTCACTTATACTATGTATTTGTTGTTCCGTTTCTGCGCTGAGCAACATTAATGCCACCACTAATGGTTGAATACATAATAAATGCAAGGATAAGCTTACACGTGAAAGCTTTTTAAAAAACAGAATTCTTCTACTTTCTTGCTATTGATATGAATTACTGTAAAATAAGGTTGCTGAGCGTATAAACGGAAGTTCTTTTAGCGATATGTTGGTAGGAAGAAGGAAAATAACTATGAGCAAGCTTCTGTTTTTATCCGAATTGGCAATTCGTTACATACGAATACTGTATTCTTGTTATCTCACTGTGAGCTTTCTGTAAATTGCGAGTAATTTTCCAGAACAAAAAACAAACCAACTTCAATGCTCATATACGGATTTAGTAATACCGTTAATTTCTTCATAATCCATTGATCGAAAGTTAACCGAATTTGTAAGGGCCAACCTTTGGGGTATCACCTATCTGGAAACGGTTCAAGTGGTCCAAAGTTATCTGAAAACCATACACCTACTATTTTGGTGTAAACCAAGCATCGATTTAATAACTATTTTCCTTCTGTCTAATAAATTTTTAGTTAGTAAAGAAGCTCTGCGTAAAATTAAAACAAATTGTATCAACAGCACCGACAACAACAACAATACTTCGATGTGGCATTGTGTCAAATATGCAATACTAACAAAAAACAGATAAAATTCACAGGCAAAAAATAATGACTTGTATTAAAAGCGATGTAATGACCTGCTGCTAAATTCTTCACCATTAAAAAGGTCATCATTGGTAGATAGTATATTAGATAGTCGAACCACTTTGAGGCCTCGAAAGTACAGATTTTCTTTCGAAATCAAAACCCTCGGTGGTTATGTCATGAAAAGTGTTCACTCAACGATTCCACAGTCTTCATTTGTGCAACCGATGGGCGAAAGTGGGAGTGATATGGCATTTTGTGATTTATGCCTAACCAGATGTTCATGTACCATTACTAGGTGCTGCCAAGTGATTTAGTATCCAGAGAAAAATAAGTTCCTTTGTTTTCCAAGTCGTTTTGAAAAGAAATTAACGTCTTTATGTCTGCCTCACTACATAATTTGCCGATTCCTTTTATGACTATATGTTAGCCTAGAGCATTTATGGGCACTACCTTTAAACTTTCTTTACATTTATATAGGCGGGTGCAGAGTAAAAGCTCTCTCTGCCCTTCGCTGCCCAAGAGGTATGTCGCGAGAGAAAGCTCAGATGAAGCATGCCACTCCACAGGTTCCAAGGCTATATCATATGTACATGTAGGTGGACTAACTCCCAAGAATTCTTCCAGAGAATAGACTAACAGAATACCATAACGATATTTTTCAATTATGGCTCCTTTAAGGTAGGGGTAATAAGGCTGCCCATTTCTTCCTGAAGCGCAAAGCACAACGTCGGGCAACCCATTTTCACTTTATCAATTGTCCATCATATTCGCTTTTCTGGGACTGGGAGAGAAGAGCCTTACTATGCTTATGGCACCAAACAAATATTTCAGCGAAACAGACATAATGTTAATAGGTCTGAAGCTTTAAGGTACAGATAGCCTAACTAACCTTAGGGATATAGCTAAGTGAGCTAGTCTTCATAATTATGATATGTAAGCGACACCATGGAA